GAAGTGGTCGCGTTCTCAGAGGCGCAGAACCACAGAGCTTTACCGCACAAAAGCCACCGTCATCCGTGGTCGTCTCGTGCAGTGTAAATAAATCATATCCCAGCATTTTTTAATGCCTAGGGAACTTTAATACTTCGCACCGATTTTCGTGCAGCTGCTGCCTTCGAGTGAAAGTGTCGTTTTTGTGTTTGTATGGCTTATTGCTTATTTCTTTCAGTACTTTTTGCATCGTACGTTGCAAATCTTCGTGTGGTGCGGTGGAGTGTTTCATCGAACTATTTTACATAGCACTGACACTTCACTTAAAAGTTGCTTTTATGATTAAATTTTGCACCATTGTAGAGAGACCACTTTCTTCATTTTTCCAATAATTGCGTTTGTTCCAAGGCCCCCTGAGTCTTCGAAGTGTCCTCGGTTCTCAAGCACTGCACTCAACATAATCTTTTCTTGACCTACCTTGTCTCTTTTGATCTGTTTCCTTTCTGTTTCCCTCTTTTGTGAAGATTTTGAAGATCTGAGGGGTCCCTAGATGTGGTTCTTTCAAGCCAAAACGGGTTGTCATATACGAACAATTCAGGCTCTTCAATCTTGTTGGGGGATAGTTCAATTAATTGAGCCTCACGATTTTCCACGTCTTGATCTCATGCGCTACAAATTCAAAGTCCATTAGAAATTCGCAGTAATTTGGAATGCCATGTGATGTACAGGGATGTGGGAACTTCTGTACTACTAAGGTCACTTCGCACCTCAGCGCACCTTAATTGGGTCTGGAAATTCCATGATCTTTTACTGCCCACATATCGATACGCAGGAAGTCAATGTCATCGACTGAAGAGAATGTCAACAGTAAGCAATTAAAGCTCCACAGCAAATAAGGTTTTCCGACGGAAGAGTTACCACTTCAATTGGCTAGGAGTTTCAACTTTCTAGAAAATAAAAAATTCAGCAAAATTACAAAAATTCAGGTAATTGAGGTTGATAGCTCCGTAAACAGTCGGCTAGTATTCACCGCCTCACATTTCACCTGTACACAAATTCTTAGCCAGCATTATTGAAATTTTTCAATACGAATCATAGTTTTTCTCAAAATGCTCTACTTTCTAGTGTTGTTATTCTCTTCAGTTATTCATCTTCAATTCGCTAAATAAAGGTATGCTGACAGCATAGGGACCATGAGTCTTTCCATTTAGTTTGATCGTTTCGTACCGAGGTGTGATGCCCTTTCTTTCTACTCACCACTTNCACTTGGGCTATATTTATAAGAATCATACAGTCTTTCTTGTGTTATTTTTCTTTCTTGTCTTATTTTTTGTCGATTCTCATAGATTTGTTTTTTTTGTCCGCAAATACGGTACGCAAATATCGTGACCACATACTGAGGAAGAGTAATTGGTTTTGATCTAATCAAATACTTCTAGTTGCGTTCGTTTATTTGGTAGGATTGAGCCGAAAGAAAGTGTAAATGTTTGTTACCGAGAACAATTTTTGATTTTTTTGTAAAAAAAAGTTACAATACGGATGGAAATGGGTTTGATTGAGTAACAAATTCCTACAACAGTTGATGAAGCATCGAAAGGCAGATGACTCAGTTCGTGGAGTACATTGTTAGTCACGACCTCTGCCTTGCAACCCCTGCGCGCTCGGGAAACGCACCGCGACCCCACTTGACTCCGCCACCCTGGTCTTTGTTCACGTATTGTGTGTGCATGAAAGAGCACAAAGCTAGCGCTCACTCTCTTTGAAGCTCCTCCTCATTCACTTAGTTGATCAACACTAAAGGTTTGCTATATACTCCAAAATAAGACTATTTTCTCGACAGGAGTTTTGTCTAAAGATGGACAGGAAACGTTTACTGTCCTGCTGTTGACCCTGTTTTTCTGTGCATAGTAGTTGGAACAATGTGGCGCAATTCTCAGAAACAGGGCGTGGAGCATTTTTTATGTCACCTCACTTGACCTCATCAATCAGCGTTGCCATCTCGCGGCTGTCCATTTGGGACTAGACCCTTTTGATCGTAATCAGTTCGTGAGGTGATGTGCTCGACCTTGGAACTGGCACTCACTTATTGTGGCTGCGCAAATGGGTGGCAGGTTGATGGCCTTATCCGTATAATCGCCGCTCCTCTTCCATCATTCTCAATTTTGTTACGTCTCTCGACATCGGTAGAGGTTGTGGGAAATTCCAGTTACTATGGCTGCGCGTTGATGACAATATGCATCACCTTCCTATCCTGACTATTGTCTCATGACTTCCCTTCTTGTTCGTTTACCCACCTAAACAAACACGGAGTGTTCGATTAGCACCTGTTTTCTTTGGCATGCCGCAGCGACCTTGCTTTTGTTTTTCTTTTACGTCATGTTCTTCATACTATGGTTCGGTCCTATTTTTGCCTTTCATATTTAGTAGCTGTTCTTTAAAAAGTGGGTGAGTGTACGACGGGCAGTTCCCTCACAAGTGCACTAAAACCAGACAAGCATGGATTCGGTTATCATGAATTCTTTAAAGGTGCACCATTGCATCTCGTATTGCCGGGACTGTCCTAATTTACGTTCAGTACATTTTTTATACTTATTTTTTTGGCGTGAACCACTCGAAATCTTTTGCGGCATTGCAGAGTCACGTGAAAGATTTTCTGGGAAATTCCGGGAGTTCCTGCTTTACGATGGGATTGTGGTCATTTAATCATAATAATGAAAATGGTTGGGAAAACTCCGCTGGCAATCATCTACCCGATAATTGGTAAGTCATGGTAAAGATGGTTTGACCAGTATATTTTCGAAGAAAATGAAGCGTTCTGCGTTGGGCATCAATTTACTTTTACTTCATCAAATAAGTTCACGTTGAGGTAGAGATCGAGAGTTCCCTCCTGAAAAGCTAAGCTAGTTCAGAAGAGTCTGAATTTGCTGACTGTTGTTTTTTCATTGTGCATGACGTTCGAAGAAAAACAAAATGGGTAGAAGTTAGAGCGAAAGTTGGAAGTAAAATTCGACCTTGGGTGTCACGACCTTTCAGTTGGTCGTGAGCTCATCGTTGCAGCAATAGGTTTGCGTTTAGCGTTCCGTTTTTAGGGTTATACCTTACCTTTGAATGAATTTTTCCATTTTGTCCCGGACGAAAGGCACGATGAAGCCGCTGAAGCTCATTCGAATCTTGGTTGTTCACTTAGGCCAATTTGTTTTCAATTTTCCGCCTTTCTGTTCTCGAACTAGCCTAACCTTAATGCTCGACAGCTCGAATCTGCCGCATCAAATTTTCAAGTAGCCAGAGAATATCGATTTGAGTTCTCGCAGTCGTCATGCTTTGCTCTTGACATATGCATTTCGTGCTGAATACTCATTCAAAATTCCTATGCTGTCCGTACAGTTGCGAAAAGGCTACCTTTCTGCCAAGCCCCACCTCTTACCTCTTTTATTTAAAGACTTAGCATTTACTCAAACTTTCACCTTCTGTTTTAGGGAGCCAGCAGAATTCCGAAGGAACAAAAACCTTTCATTCAAGTACATATAAGCTTTCAAATGTAGCTGCAGTTATTTTTCTATTCAACCATATCTACTCTCCTTCAATTTTCAGTAGGTGGAAGTGATTTTCTTTTGTAGAACCCTGTTCAATGGCCATAGCGTTAGTATTTTCCTATCACTCAGTACTTCCCTTTTTCTTTCCGTATAGCGCAATGACTCAAGCCTTCTCTTTCTGGCAAAATAGGTACACGGCTAAGTAATATCGACCCCGTAGCTTTTGTGAGTGTTACTGGATCGATATGTTCGCTGCGCGTATGGGAGGGGTGGTCATGTATCGTCGCGAGTGTTGCCTACAATGCGTCAGCGATGCAATTTAGTGGTTTGTTCCCTTTATCCTTGAGAACCTATATATTCTATAATATTCATTGTTATGGCGTACGGCGGAGACTACTTGTCGTCGTCTTCCGACGTTGTTTAGGACTCCTTCGGTCACATTGTTGTTGTGCAAGGCTGTCATTATTTATTTCGTGCGCAGACTGTAAATACTGATGTAGAAGGAAAAATCTTAGTAACAATGTCGTGCGTTGGTGTATACTGAGTTGTGACGGTTGTTCCGAAACAGCCCGTGCAGTTTAACTTATATGATTTCCTTCCCACCCTATTATTTAACTCAGCTCGTTTATTCATAACCAAAACGGGAATTTGCTATTGCAAGTTTATTTGTAATGCATGATCCCGGTCGATCAGGAAAACCTGCTTCCGTTTCCCTATCTTTTAGAATATCTCCAACAGCGACGTCGCTGATTTACGTTCTAATTTTCTTTTCGATGACGTTCTTCTTACGTAATTCGTCTTTCTCAGTTTTCACTTTTTGGTCAGTGAAAAATTATTTCCAGGTTCCCAAGCACAAGGTTTGTTGATTTTCGGGGTAATGGATTTCTTCAACGTTATGGCATGGGTATTTATTTTTGAAGGGAGATAGGAAGGCAGTGAGAAGGTTTATCGATCCCCCTGCGCTAAGCTGTGTGCAGCAGCAAGGGGTTGCAATGATAAGAATTACGGATTAGGCCAGGTTTGGACATAATCCAATTGAAAATTAAGTTTCTCAGTGGGGAGATGGGAGAGGGTGCCATGGAAGAATATGATACAGAATATGCCTATACATTGCCTTGTTTTTGCTTCTCAAACTTCTCGGTTTCGACTTAAACAACTCATGCACACTAACTGCCGTTCATGTTGATTGCGCTTAGCTATTTTTTGTTAGTCCTATTCAGCTTGTCTTTTTTTTTTCTAATTTCAGGAATAATTGGATTTCTCATTATGGCTTTTATTTCGATGATGTTCATTTTATGAATGATTTGCTATTGCCGAGTACTGGTTTTTGAGATTTCCCCTAGGATGAACCTTTAGCCCCCAAGAACAGCACGTGTGAGATTGTCATGTCGGAAAATGGCTTGGGCAGGGCATTATGAGGGGTCCAAAACCGGATTGGTCGACGTACACACCCAAAAATGCCCGTGTTACGACGTGTAGTTAAAGCTGCGCCGTTCACAATGAAGCGTTGGGACACTGGGAACAGCACGTTCACGTGGAAGACATCCAGGTGGTTACAGACACTCAGTCTTGTGCAACCCCTTTCTTATTACTTTTTAAAGCCTCCTATTTCTTGAAATCCTCCCTCCCGCTCTTTTTTGCCATTTTAATGCTATTCTGCACCGTAACGTCCGTTATTTCGATTGAGCTAGATACTTCGGAATTACCCTGAACTGTGCTTTGATACAACAGTTCAAGGCTCGTTTGTTGTCTACAGTTCTGACCCAAAGCATCAAGAGAAAGGGTTTCCTGTTTGGCAAGAAGTTATCCAGCTAACCAATATAATGCGGTCAGAACTGGATATCGATACATTTATCGGAATTCTTTCTCGAAATTCGGAAATTTCCTGTTTTTGTTTAACTGTCGCAGGAGCATTGTCTTGAGGTAGGGTTGAACGTAGAGTATCGATAGTAATGTCCTTCGAGGCACCCGTGGATAGCTAGTACTTTTTTTGTGACGTGGCCTCACTAAGAGATTGTTTCAGCCCTCTGCCTGCTTATGCGTTATGCCCTGAGCTGTACTTCTTACATGACCTCTGTGTTTGTTGTGTTTGATAGCATCTCATAGCTCTCTTTGCACATTGTAGTTTTGAGTTAACTTAGGAGTACACAGTACTGGAAGGATATCAACTTGTTCAGCTTTTATATTGACATTTGTCGAAAGGAAATCGAAACTATGATGTATTCTAGCCATAAGATCCTTTCATCCTGCTCTCCTAGTTCTTCTTGTGTTTGTCGTTCTCACAGATGTAAATATGACTCATCTCAGCGACGCCATGGATTTTTACACTCCATATTGAATTTTCCGGAGAAAAACATAGCACCGCTAGTTTACAAATTGTCTTTTCATGAGACACGCTATCTTTGAAGGGTAAGCCTATTCATGTGAAACCTTATTTTCGCCGTGGAATTTTCTTCTTCTTGTTCTCAGGGCAAAATACCTCTCTTCCCCGTTTGTTCCGAATAGTGACAAGGATTCTCCTTTCCATCACGAGCAATTCCGTTACTTTCTCGTTCTCTCTTCATCACGTACATGCATTCCTCGCCCTATCTTCCTTCAAAATCCTACCTTTTCATGCTCACATTGATATGCATGAATGAAAGACTAATTATGATCAATGTCGATTTGAATCCTGCTTGTTTGACCAAGATCATAATTTTATTTCTTAATTTCACTTTATAGCTAGGTTTCCAATATGAAAAAACAATTTTTCAGGATGACTCATTTTCAGTCTACCTTCCTATAATGCATTTCTCTGTAATCATCAAATTTGCATTCGCGCCCACCGTTATGTAAGCGCATTAACTTGTGCATTTAGAGCGGGCAGTTTTCATTCAGAAATGTAGCGTCTGAAATCGAGCTCTTTTCCTCCGGTATATTCGATATCCGTTTCCACCGTGTCGCGGCTTTCCAGTTCGTTGATTTATACATACCATACTGAAGTGGAATCAGCTGGTTATTTCAGCACATTTTCGGAGCGTCTATTGACTTGCACCAGATGCGCTAACACATCCGGCTGCCTGTGTGTTGAGAACATGTCTCAAAGATCCAATTCCGGAGGCTCTGATGAATCGCTGGCTGAGCGATCTGTCGCCACGTCTGTCATTCGGGACACTGGCACTAAGGCACGTTTTTCTAATCATTTTTTTCTTCTTTAGTGTTATAGCTGTTTGACAACAATTCATCTGTTTTGTAGAACTGATTGGAAATGTTATAAAGATACAAGTATTTTCAGGTGCAATTATTGTTCAAAGCTCATGGACTGAAAAAACGGAAAAGTCTTCTGAATTCTATTGTAACGGCGTTCAGAAAGGTAAGCCTTGTAGATTCGAAGTGATTTCATCTTTTCCCTCATTATAAACAATCATTATTTAAAAGTTTATGAGGTGTAACTATAATTCCTCATTACAACATGCCCTTCGGTGGCTCCTTCTACCATTTGCTAGAAATCCTTATCACCCCGTTCATGGTAAGATAACTAGGAAACATTGTATACATCAAAACTGACCTATATGAGGAAATCAGTCGCCTGGGGCAACTTATGAGGGGCGATAATAAAGAACAAATTGTTATTACAAAATTTTATAACGAAAATATGCATATCTCTAAAACAAATAACTCTCGCCCTCTATCACAATAGCCTCTGGGTTTATCAGGAATATTGGAATCACAGCACTACTGACAGGGCACGTCGTAATAGCAGAACCAAGTTAGAGAGGAAATTGAGAGCCTATTCATTGCCAAAGGATCTTTGTTCATACCTTTCTATCTCTATAGCTGTTCAACATTCGTCTGGAATACATTGTTAGTCGAATA